AATTAATTGTCAGAATCCGAAGCTGAAATACTAAAAGAACTAAGAAAATAGAGGGACATCACATGAAATGTAAATCCCAGAAAAATGCAAGAAATAAAAAAAAAACTGAAACAGTGAATGTATAATACAGTATAAAACTTCAATATTCTCTCTTCAGAAGGAATGGAAACTGGAGCCACTCTTTCCCGACATTGGTTTTTGTTTATAAGAGGTTTGGTTTCCTTCATAAGTTCTTTCACTAAGTGGAGCTGAAGTTCGCATAGATTCCAATTCTTTGCCCCTCTCCTCCAATGAACAGATATCAGTAAACCTTTCACCTCTTGCTCTATTTATGACAGCGTAATAAACCCCATTCACAAGAACAGATTCGACCGATAGCGAAAATTGGTTCTTCCAACATGCCCCATTCACACGGCAACAAGCATTAACTGCTTCTCCGAATTGGAGCTAGAATTTGGTAGAATGTTCCTACCTCTCAGAAGCAGAGCAAATGGGGAGATTTCCCATGCTGTATTTGCCTGATTGCACGGTTCACTTAATTTTAACAAGCAACATGGCTGACTTGCAACTGACTGCTCGCTGGACTTTCAGCGAAACAATCACATTGGTAGATATCTGAGGATGCAATATCATCCAAAAAAATTACATAGAACCGTATGAAATACAGAAATTTGTAAACAAATACAGACAAAGTTATCTGATGCTCAGTATTCCATAAATACCATTCAAATTAAAACTAAAGACTCGCATGTTGACTTCAACTCAACAAGGAGACTCTGTAACTTCTGATTTTTTTTTTTTTTTTTTTTTTATATATATATATATATTTAAGAACTTTGATCTAGTTTTATGAATATATTAAATGGTTTTGTAAGACAAAATTATTTTAAGTTGAGAAAAAAAAAATTTTTGCCAGTATTTTTTTTAATTTAAATTTTTGGAAGAAAAGTTTAACAATTAAAATGTCATTCTTCTCCTACTATTTTCAATGATTTCCCCCATAGTATGTATTATAAAGTTCTTAATAGCTTTAAGGATAAATTTTGCAACTAATGAATAAGTTTCTGAGAAAAAATTAAAAACACATTTCCTCTTCAAATAATTTTTCTTTTCAGTATTTTGCTAAACTCATTCTTGTTTCTGTAAAGTATGTAATTTTAATTAAGCAGTAAAAATATTAAATGATTTAGGCCATACCTATATACGTTTTAGGACTTTAAAAAAAAGGATTTATCGAAAAAATGCAAAATGAGGAAAACACAGTTTAAAGAATATAAGTTGTCTATATGGTCATTAAAACATTTCAAATTTCTTAAAAAATTTTTTACTGAATTTCATTGCATATACAGTCAAAAGTCCTTAATTCGGACACCCATAATACGGAATGATCTATAATCCGGACCTCAAAGCTACAAACTTTCTGCGCATGCACATAATACGTTTACGCATGCACGTTTAATGTATAACGGACGATATAAGCTAAGCTAAAATTATCTAATTCAGTTAATGTTGCAGATTGCGTTGTTCCCTAATCTTCGAATTGGATCCGGCTTATTATTTTTTGCAGACTGTTAGAGCAATTTTAAAAAAGTGAGCTTGAACTTTCGATTATGTCAAATAGAATTTCCGATATATATTTACTAATATGTAAAGGATCTACAAAGCGAAAGTATGTTTGGAAGTCCATTAAACAAGTGGAATTGCTGCAAAAATGGATAAAGGCATATAATCCTTTGTTTATATAAACATTCCGAAATCTGTTTATCAATTTCACGCTGCTCTGCGGTGGAGGGGGGAAGCGCCGTGGCATGCAATAAATTGGAAGTTGATCTGTCAGCACTATCCTTATCTTCAGGGCAGATGTTTTTTATTTTATTTGGCTTATCATTCCTTACTAAGTGTAGTATTTCAACTCGATGTACTCCGTCTTCGATATGATTTAAATCAAATACTTCGTCATTATAATTCGCTTCCGATAGTGAAGAAAGTGACACAGAGGTTATTGAAAACGAAAGAATATCGATTGACAAATTAGTCTGTATTCTCGACACAGCAATTATAGGACTTGAACAGCGGAACTTTGTAACTGAAGAAGAAATTATGTCTATTTATAGAATTAAAGAGAAAGTATTATCACAGCTGGTGCGAAAAAAGTCCTGTGCTTATTCATAACAAGTCCTGTCGTTAGATTCTAACTGCTCATTCGTCGGAGTCAGTCACGTGGGAGGTCACCCTCCCGGAAACTGACACCGCATGATGCTGCTTGAAAACCAGTGAACTGGAACTTAGAATAAGTGTAGAAATGTGAAGAAAATGATAGTAAAGCGTAACATTACTGCATCTCTTTTGTTGCAAGATCCTAAAAGTCTTCATCGGCGATCTTCACAAGGTACATTGCAGCTTTAAATCCACTTGAAAGTTTCTCTGCAGTGGTTTTTGCTCTCTTGATGTTTTCAATGAAGTATATGATTTTTCCAAGAAATTCTTGTACCTTATCGTCTCGCAGCCAGCTAATAGCTTCACTAGTGTCTGCAGGGACTTAATTAAGTTTACTCTTTAGTTTTTCACTGTACGAGGCTTTCTGAGGTGGAGAAAAATTTCTTTCTGGATTTTTAGTAGGGTGTAGAAAGTCAGTGCTCTTGAAAGTGAATTCTGTCATCTTGCGGCGGGCTGGTTTTCTGTCGAATGTTTTCTTATACGCTTCGCACCCACGATAACTGGATACATGATTTTTTCCGCAAAATAAACATGTGGGAGCTTTGTCCTGTTTCTTAGGACAAGTGTTACTGCGATGGTTATCTCCGCATTTGCAACATCTTATTTCGTTAGTGCATAGGTGTTGGGAGTGCCCCCACTCCTGACATCTAAATCACTGCATCGGTTGTTTCCTGGGGCTGTACTTTTCAATCTTTATGTTCACGCTGAACGTACAGTTCAGCTGATGTATTGCGTAGCCTTCTTGGTTTCTTTTAAGTTCAATGAGCCATATTTGCAATTTCTCAGAGTTATATATTTTGCTCCGGCAAAACTGCTTGACCTTAAGGACTGGAAATTTCCTTCTTATGAGATCATTGTAATTTCATTGGATTTCAGAAATTTCCTTGCGTTTTGGTAGTCCTCCATCTTTTTCGTATTCATGTAAATTAATTTCCTTTCATACATGCTTCAATTTTGTCTGTGCATATTTCTCTTAAATCGCATTCAACTATCAGCCAGTCTATCAGCTCCTGTTTGAAGACAATGGGAGTATTTCTTCAGTGCATTCATTTTCTGATGCTTTCGGAGTTTCATTCAATTTCTCGAATCTGTTATCAGTAGAAATTTCCATCTGGTCAGCCGTAGGAGGTTTCCTCGCCGTTTTCGTGGGAGAGATCTATGGGTTTGCCTTCGGTTTATCACTTTCAGTCTGTGGAGCGTCATCCGCTGAGTTAGGCACTGTTGCTGCAGAAGTGTTGCGGCATTCATTTATGGATTTCAAGATTTCCGCCATTTGTTGATCGCGTATTATTTTCAGTATCATTGAATGGGTATCACTTGAAGATCCAGGACTCGTTCCTTGAGTGACATCAGTCTCGGATAAGGTTTCCACCTTCTTTGTCTTACTTTTCCTCTTGGGTGACTTGATAAAATCTTCTTGTCGGAGTAAAAATATATTAATGGAAAATTTGGATATTGTTTCTGTTTTCTTTTCGTATATAAATTCTGCTAAAACAAAGTATAGGTAACTGAAATTTTCAGAAAGTTAATAACTTACTCATTTGTGTTTTACTGTAAGTTTGCTTTCATTCCTTTCATTGCAAAGTAATATATAATACTTTTGTTTTTCCTCATTGTTTAATTTTCTCTACAAAACATTGCATTCATCCTGTTATGTTTAAAAATAGATGTTAAATTTTTTTTTTATTATTATTATTTGAAATAAAAGAAATCAGCTACTTGAGCTTCCGCACTTTTTTCTGTTTTAAAATATGACATATCTTTAACAAATCATAGATAATGTATAAAAGATATTTTTTTCTTGTTAATGTTTTCGTGCAATATTTCTGCATATTAAATGAAAACATGCTTACGTCACTGTTACTCTACATTTTTGTAATACAGATAAATGTGTGATTAAATTCCTCGATTTTAGTTATGTTTCAACAAGTTTCTTGTATTGAAATTACATAGCTCATCAAAGTAAGGAATAATTCTGCCTTACATTGTAAAATATATTTATAGATGTTTTAATTGCTGTTTGCCGAAAAGTCTTTTATTGTTTTGAATTTTTGGCAACCCAAATTTTTCCCTCCTCCGATTAGTTAGAGCTTTATGAAATTCAACAATAGTAATTATTTTTGGATTTTCGTTATTGATTTGCTAATAAATGTTCTATCAGGAATTCGCTGTACAGTTTTGCCTTCATTGATTTTATTTTTTTCCTAGTATTTACAGTATTCTTTGGGCAACATATGTGTATAAATTTTAACTCTAGTTTCTTTTTTACCTGAATCTTGAGTTTTAGATTTTAATTATTTTAATTAATGTATTAACAATTAAATAACATTAACAATTTAATGATGTGATACACACATTCTCAGCTTATATAAAACTTACATAGCCTATGGGGAATACCAAAGGGTATTTCCAAAAAGGGGGATAGTAATTCTTGTACCTATTGTTGAATTTAGTATTAATTAAAATATTGATTTAAAATAACAATCATCATACTGCTTGCAAGAGCATTTTCAGTGTTTGCACATAGCAGTATCATTATTTCGCATGGCTTTCTCTATAGATAACAAATTTTATTGAGGATACCAATGTAAAGTCTGGCTTTTCAAGAAATTGTTAATTATATTGCATTAATGACTACTCATGGACATAAGGCTCCATCTTCCATTTAAAGACAGATGAAATACATAGTTTTTAATTTTTCTCAAAAATATGTCGTCGTTTTAATTACTTTTTTAACAGTGAAGACATGATGTGATTTATTATATGGTTACTTGGTTTTTCAGAAATATTTGCGATGACCAAAACTCACAAAGAAATAGCTGTTTTTATGTCAAGGCAAGCAGACAACACTGAATTGAATGACAAGATGTTTATTAAGGTAGTATAACTAATATAATATATGCTTCTGTTTATTTTGAGGCTTCAAAATTTATCTAAAACTTACATCTGGATTTCAAAACTTATTTTTTGCTTCACATTTTCTAGGTGGCTATAAGTTTTTAAGGACTGAAAAGGAAAATTTACAATAGAGCAATAGTATATATATATACACTATACAGCAATTTGCTTTAGATCAATATATACAATAATGTGCACACTTTGGCAGCAACAGTTGTGCATTTTAAAGAAATTCACTGATTATATGTCATGTCATTCCGAGTTTTGTTTAAATTTTTCCTTTCTGTTTTGTACAGAAAATTTGGGCTGTTTGCTCATAAATAACTAACTGAATCATATTCGTAAATTAACTTTTCCTTGGGAGCTAGGACATGTGTCCTACACATTCACTATATTACATAAGGCTGAAAAAAAAAGTACTACTATTTAGTTTACTATGGAGATTTAAAATTTGCTACTTAATGTGAAGCAGGAAATGGCAGACTGTTGATTGTTTTCTGTACCATGCTGATTTAATAGTTGACTAAATGGCTTCAATACATAAAAAATTAGTTTGTATAGCCCATGTGAAAAGGTTAAGCGTTATTTAACAAAAACTTCTGTGATACAAAACTATAATATTTTTAAATATAGGTACAATAAAAAAATAATATGACTATAATTATAAAATACACTGCTGGCCACCCAAATTGCAACACCAAGAAATACAAGAGATATCACAACAAAATTTATTTAGTAGATAGCATGTTGACCAAGTATCAAATGATTAAATTTTTAGACTTTTGTGATATGTGTTTCCTTCCAGAGAATCAGTAGCCAGAGTAGCCGCCATTGTTGGAGATCACAGCTGCCACACGCCTCGGCATTGATTCAAAGAGACTTTGGATGTGTTCTTGGGTTTTCTATCGGCGAAAGATCCGGAGAGCGAGCTGGCCAGGAAACAATTCAATCTGGTGTTTGACAAAGAACCCTTGGACAATGCGTGCCACAAGTGGTCATGCATTATCCTGTTCAAATATGGCTGTGGGCAATATGGCCTGAAGGTAAGGAAGGACAACTGGGTCCAACACCTCAGAGATGTATCGCTGGCTGTTTAAAATACTGGTAATGCATATTGGAGGAGTGCGAGAGTGATATCCAGTACCGCCCCAAACCATAATACCTGGTGCAAGACCAGTGTGGTGGTGCATAACGCAGCTGTTCAGCATCTTCTCTACACGGTGTCTCTAGACTTGAATCCGACCATCATGGTGTTGCAGACAGAAGCATGACTCGTCTGTAAAGACAATTTCATTCCATTCTGCTGTCCACATCCTTCTTTCATTGCACCATTGCCTGTGGAAACGTCTGTGGTTCTGTGTCAAGGGTAGACGAAGCAATGGACGTCTTGCGGACAGAAAACTCTGCTGTAAACGGTGTCGAATGGTACATGCAGACACTGGCTGATGCATTACAGACTGAATGTGCTGTGCTATGGTTCGTGATGTGACTGAGCGATTCGTCACTGCCATGCGCACAACGTTCCTGTCATCACGTGAAGTGGTGTACTGAGGTCGATGCTTTCGAACACGTCGGTCTGTCGTACCCTCCTGCATCCAACGGTCACATATCCGCATTACAGTTGTTTGGTTTCGTCCAACACAACTACCAATTTCCCTGAAAGATAATCCACACTGTCAGTTCGCTACTATCCTTCCTCTGTCGAACTCGGATACTTGATCAAACGATGATCGCTGTTTACTACGAGGCATAGTTGATCTTTTTTTTTTTTTTTTTTTAAACCACAAGAAAAACACAATTGCCGAACTTGAAATCGTCGAAAACTCCAAGCCTTAAATAGTGCTTTGAAGTGGCGCCACAGGTGTGCGTTATGTGCGTCTGCGCTGAAATTCTAATCATTTGCATATCTCGCCTCCGCTAATGCATGTTGTAAATTTCATGTTATTTGCATGCTTCCTTCAGGGTGTTGCATTTACGGTGGCCAGCAGTTTATATGGAGAGAAAAGTACAAATGATAAGGACATTTTTTAGGACAAGTTCCTTTTTAAAAATTTTTAAATAAAAAAAACTATCACCACCTGTGAAATAACTTTTAAAATAATTTTAAAACTACAACAGAAATAAACAAAAGATACTCTTGTCACACAAACCTAGCACTGTGATTTTCACTAATATGAATTCCTGTGCTAATACAGTATGAAGTCCACAATACAGGATACAATTGGGACTTAAGGAATTCCAGATTTTGGAAATTTCCAAATTTTAAATTATCATTTTAAATCTAGAAAAATGACTCGTGGAAATTATAAAATTAAAAATATGAAATAATAAAGCATGTATGACTATGATAACAGGGTGCATAGCGGTCCTTATTTTTTAAATAAATTTTAAAGGCCCTTATAGGTGCTTACTTTTTCTCTAATGCCTTTTTTATTTTATTTTTTTATGAATGCACATCCCCCCCCACCCGGTATCAAAGCCGAAACTAAATAAACGTTTCATTCTTATCTGGAGTGTCAGATGGTGAGTCATACTCTCGGAAATAGCTTTTCTCCCCTTTCTCTGCATTAACGTAAACTTTGTTTCGTGCAAGTAGAGATAGGTGCATGTCATTCTATTGGTCAAAGAATAGTGAAAGTGCTAGAAAATTCTGGTACATTCCATGTTCTTTTCTTCCCACCCACAGACTATAGATGTTTGATTTTATATCAAGATTTTAGTAATCTGCATTCTCATTCTGTGTGGTCAGTTCATATTCACGTTTATTATGATCATTATGCTTATATTATTATATATGTACGAATATTTATAATAAAATATTTGCAGTAAATGCTAACGTATAGATAAACTTCAAAAATGGGTAAGTGTGTTTTTAACACAGATTGGCTTTCTAAGAAAGAATATTCTGAATGGCTTAAACAAAGTGAAAATAATCACAAAGACCTGTGTTCCTGGTGTAAAATTGAAATCAACATAGCAAGTATGGAAGAGTCTGCTTTAAAGTGTCACACAGATTGTAAGTAATTTTTTTTCTATTTAATTATTATTAATTTTAATATGTGAAATTAAAATCTCCTGTAGACTGCTGATTTATGTATTTTTTAAATTTTCATTTTCTTCTTTTTGAAAAGGTTTTCCTCATAATATTCATATACTGTATCTCCCTTCCTGTTATTTCTGTATTTCATGCATATTTTCAAAATTGGGAATTTGGGCCTTACATTTTCAATTTTTTTGCCAATGCATTATACAGTATGGAAATGAGGGGGCCTAAGATTCTGAATCCTCCCTTTTCTCCAAAAAATCTTGAATATTCAAACTGTTACAGTTTGCAGCAGAACAAGCAACATACTATTTTTTTTAGCCCAGAGGGCGTTGGCCCAGAAGAGCTATTAATTTGTTTTGGCATTTTGTGTTTGAATATTTTTAAAAGGCTGTATCACTTTTCAAATTGTTGCCACCACATATGGTGGCAATATGGCTCCCAATTTCCTAGTGTTATATTTAAAGAAATAAATAATGAAGAATCTGCATAAATGTATATGTTTTTTGCATTGTGACAAAAGAATAATGCCTAGAGCCATCAAATATGGAATAAATCCTCCACCCAAATATGGATATCTGGAAGCCCTAATTTGGAATTTATTTTGTTATCCTTTTTGTATTTTGTAAAACTTTAATGAATTTTTGATTAACATACTCAATAATTTCAAAGCGTGCAATGGCAACACTGTATGGGAGGAAAAAACATTTTTATCTGCAGCACACAAGACCGAGTATCGAAAATTCTAAAGATATGATCTTTTCAAATTATTTTGTGATGTTGCTGTTGAATTAAGTTTTATGGTTTAAGTGTGAACAATACAATATTTAATAAAGGTAACACATAATATGTTAAAAAATACCCCTTTGGGCATAATATAAAGTTTGAAAACTTCCAGGTTTTATTTATTTAATTTTTTCGGGGGTCAATTTCCAATCAGGATTAGAGTAATTCTTTTCAGGAAATTTAACATTCTGTTCAAAATTAGAATGAAAACAACTCCAAAGTTGTCTTTTTCTTTTATTTAGTTTTTTATTATCCGAATACCGGCAGCTGTTGATTCTGATTGTGTAATATCATGTGCAGAATAATTAAGGCAGGCGTGTTGCACAATGCTTGCTATATTTTGCAAAGATAATTTTTGATATACAATCTGGAATTTGTTTGTGAGTACTTAAAAGTGTTTTACTGTGCTTGCTGAGCTAAATATTTTTCAGTTTCATTCAGCTCTTTTTATATGTTTATAAATATATTTTTACAATCTATATGTTTACTGCGATAACTGGGTTAGATCACAGTTTTTTTTTTTTTTTTTTTTTTTTTTAAATCAAGAGCAACATTTGTTACTTACTGAATGTTAAATTAAGATCTTCATGATGTTTTGTATTCTAAATATTGTGACGTTACGAAAGATACAGAAATAGTCTTAAAAATGATATTGAATACACATATCAAAATGTCAAAAGCATTACTTAGCGGATAAATATAAAACAACAGCTACAATCTACCCCCCCCTCTTTTTCCAGTTACACTCGATTATCCAGCAATTGGCAGTTTCCGAGCATGTTGGTTAGTTAAGCGACTACATGAAGCAATTTCCGTCCTCTGATTTCAGAAATATTGCTTTTTTTTTTTTTTTTTTTTTTTTTACTTAAAATACTTTGTATCATCTGTTACAAGAAAACTATCATATAATGAGACTTTAGAAAATGTTCAGAATTTTGAGTTAAATTATTTAAATATGAGTGGAAAAATAAATAAATGTACAATAAATTCAATTTATTTCTAGGTGGCAAGCATAAAAAATTTCTGAAAAGGAAAAATACAGCTGTTGGTGGAATAACAAGCTATTTCCCAAAATTAAATCCTGTTAGTGTTGCACCTTCCTGCTCCCTGGGTGTTATCTGTGCTTTGCAAAATTCAAGTACTTTGACGATGCTATTGGAGCTTCAAAAGATGTTTTGTATGATGAAATTTTGTGCTGTTTGAAAGTGGTGACAAGTCATTATTCTTATAGATCTAGCAGTGATATTGGTAAACTTTTTTCAAGTATGCTCCCTGACAGAGTTATAGCAAGACACTTGTAGTGAGATAAAGCCATTTTGGATTAAACTTTATTTTCAGAGTCATGTTTGATGAATTTTAAGAAGCTATCCCACCTTTATTTGATGAGGTAAAACAAAATTTTCAAAAAAATAAATAAATAAATAAAAGCAATTAGATGTTCATATCAGATATTGACAGCTTGACCAAAATAAAGTTGCAACTCAATTTTTGTTCTCTGTTTTCTTGGGACTTACAACAGCTGCTAATATTTTTGGAAGTTTTCAAATGGCAGTTAAAAAGTGTGCTACAAATTAGTATCAATGGTCCAGCCATAAACTGGAAGTTATATGAAACCTTCTAACATGAATTGAAAAAGGAATATGGCATTTAATGTATATCTATTGGTAGTTGTGGCTTTCATATTTTGAACAATGTTTTCTGTAAAAAAGCATCCACTACAAGCTGGGATACACCTTATATTTTAAGAGCACTATATTCAAAGATTCTCCAGCATGTCAAGATTTTTCAACAGTGAGTGTGCATAAGGCTGCCATTGAAATTTTGTAACTATAGGTGGCTAGAGAAAGTACTAATATGTTTGCATGCTTGTGAAATTTAAGAAGATATAAAAGGTTATGTCAAGCTAATGGAAAATATGCAAACATAACTTGCAAATCATATGTAATAATAAGAGATGCAATTAGCTAAAAATTAAAGAGAGGTTTCTTGGTATGTGGGCGTCATGCGTGCTTTCCACTCTATGGAGCTAGGGGAATGTCGTGCAAAAGCCAAGACTCTTCCCCATGACCAGGCGGACAAAGAAGTCATCCGGATCAGCATCGTGTAGTGCACTAAGTTTTTTGCAAATGTCGATACGCTTCACCCTCTGTTGTTGTGCAAGTGCATGAAGCACACACATTTGTTCTCCAAATCACTTGCATTGTTCCTTGCGCAACACTGTCTCTTCCTGTTGAACATTATGTGCCTGTTCACCATGATCAAATCTAGCAGAGCTACCACATTTCATGCTGTATGCGATGTTGTTGGTCATCCTGCGCTGACTCCATTGCTGAACTTGGCCAACCAACAGGATGCCTTGAGGGTGCTTTGTTCCTGCACACCGACACCATGCAACAATGGATCTCACTACTCTGTATCCCTTCCTTCCATGTGAACCATGCTATCCATCGCTGACCGTGATAGTCACCTTCTATCGTTGCTGTCCACGCTTTCAACGATGGCGGTGAAGGGGACATGCACTGAGTTATACCATTCGGCTTGCAGCCAGCGCCATTTATGCATTCTGATAAGTAGCTCATGCCCCCTTGTGTCTGTTTCACTTGTTTTCCCTGTTGCATAGCATAATAGTTTCATTGTGAGAGCCGTTGTGTCAATCATTTCTGTACGATCCAAGTAATATTCTTTTGGAATATTCCGATTTCATCAAAATGTTGTCCAGCCATACTTTACAGAGTTAAGCACCTATGATGTGAAAAAAATTAAATTAGATACTTTTTTGCACATATTCTTTAATGAAAAATAATTTCAAGATATGGGAAACATTTAAAATGATCTTTATTCTTTCCCATAGGCAAGCCTCTGTTGAACTAGGATTTAATATCAATAAAAATATAGAAAGAGAAAAATCTGGGGTAAAATTCATACACTGCCCAGTGCATAGTTTGAGACTTTGGGAAACATGCTGGTGGGATACACAATGTATCATTTATGAAAAGAGATGAAAGCAGCAGCTTCATCTGTCCATTCACAGTATTGCTTATATTTGGTAGAAGAGGGAAAAAAATTATTCAAGATAAAAAAAAGAAAAGCAGAATCAACAGATGAATTGATTTCTCTTAAAGGAAAGAAAACTCTCTGAAAAAGAAGTGCTTGAAAAGAAGCAGATGAATTTGCTGAAAAAGCTGAAGTTACAAAAAAGATTAATCTTTTAAATAAATCTAATGAAATGTTAAATACTATTGGTAAAAAACAAACTCTGTTAAGAGAACTGTATAGACACAAGAAAAATCAGAAATAAAATTATTATTCATTAATAAGTATAAATTGTTTTTATCGGTTCTTTTTTATGCTGTAAAGTACTTTGTATGCATATAATAAAAAATGGTGTATTATTATTTATTTTCGTTATGTTTAACTGAAAATCATCATTAAATCTTGTAATATAGTTTAGCATACAATTTTCCCCCTACATTCCCCCCTCTCATTGTAAACTAGTCCTGTAAATTGGACTGTTATTTAAAATTGAAAAGTAATTGTTTTCCATGGTTGAGTAATGCTAATTTTTTCTTAATAAATACTGAATTTCTCATTAAATTACAGTCAAGTCTCATTTTTCTTTTAAGGTCATGCAGTTGTGCATACATGTAATTTAACAGGTGCTTATTTTTTTCATAAAAAGTGCTTGAAAAGTACTTATAGGTGCATTTTTTTAAACTAAAATGTGGCTAACTAATCCTGGATAAGGAAATCAAAATTTATAAATGAGGCTCTGTATTTATTTTATCAAACATTTCTTTCAGTGTTGTTTAAATTATTTCATTTTTTTTTAGAATGCCTTTGATTTATATATATATATATTTCTTGTTCTGAGTAAAGTTCTATTGTGTAAGTCCTGTAATTGTCATGTTAAAACTTTCCACTAGATGTCTATCAAAATCTTTACGTTCTCAAAAATCTCTTTATTGATATTGAAAATGATGACTTGCATCATTTTCAATAGCGATATTTTATATATTTGAAACTATACTGAAGATATCACCATCTATTAGTTGATAGCTGATTGGGGCATTGTCATCCAATAGAAAACTTCAGTTGTATCATATTATTTATTTACAAATTCAATTTATGGTAAAAATTTCGCATTCAAAATTTACACCAAAATAAGATTGCCGTTTTACTTAATTCTAATATTGCATTTTCTTTACATCTAAATTGTACCAATGCCTTTTTTGGGGGGCACCAGAGACAGTATAGTAAGTGGGTACCAGATATGCTTTAGCTTTGGAAAGCTCTAGAATGTCTGACATTATTGAAAGTTCAAATTTTTATTTTTATAAGATAGCTGTAATAATAATAGCCTGCAAAATATAACAAGCTAGATCAAATTAGTTAAGAAAGAGCACAATCTGTTAACTGAATTTCTTCCAAATCTAATTCATTATCTTTTCCCACTGTTTTGCAAACCAAAATATATATGTAACAAAATACAATGGCTGCTTTAAGAACAATTGGCGACTTCAAAATGAACGATTCTATATTTTATGCTTTTCCCTAAATTCATCTGTTCTTTCAAATTCTAAATCTTCCCATGTTATGTAACAGTTAACGCATATAGATACATCTTGCCCAATCAAATAATTGTAAGCCAAAACTTTTTAACCTGAACTGAAACTTTTGACTTCCTTTCTTCTTCCTCTGAATTGCTGTGTTCCTTCTTGCTTATACTTTTCTCCTGGCAAGACGCTCCTCATCCACACTACTGCTTACTTGCCCAAGATGACATCATACTTTAAAACCCATGTACACAGAAATTATTGTATTCAACTATGATTGAAAAATATCAACAGAAAGATGATCTGATGTGAATTATCGTGCAATACAGTTATGTTTTGAAACGGCCATATCTGGAAGTTTTTGGTTTATGCCAGAAATTAAAGTACCAGATTCCTTCATCTATGCATTAAAACATGGCATATATATTAGCAACATCCCATTCTAAACAAATGTCTTGTAATTTCATTTATTTTTTAGGTCAGATAGAAAAGTATTATCCTCCCACTTCCACAACCACTCGAAGACCAAAAAGCGTAATCTCGGCTAACATCGGTGAATGTGTTGTCACTGGCCACAATGTGATTCCCTAGCCAGCAGATGCTTGAAAGTGATGCACAGTTAGTCGTGAGAAATATCGCGTCTACGACATACGTGCCTTTTCTGGAGTATTTCATTTTCCATTCTTAATTTTGAACAAATTCTTTAAAAAAAAATTGCTGGTGTTGCAGATATTTAGACCGTTCCAGATATTAGATGTCTGTTTCTCAGATTTTGTGCTGTGCTGTCATTATGTTCCGCACAGGCACAGCTACATTCATGTCTAAAATTATCTGTACATGTATAAAATCATGGATTTCTCAGAAACTGTGAACTTCAATTTTATGAATTTGTGTGGAATGATGTACAACAAATAAATAGAAAGGAAATAAATCTAAGAACACACAACATAAAACTATACCATGAAACAATAAAGATGGCAATTTGTTACAAGAAGAGTTGGGGGGGGAAGAACTCGTAGAAAAATTGAGGTACCTAACTTGTACACCCACATCACAACAGGATTTCATATTGACAATTTTAAACACAATTTGAGAAATGAACTTTCATTTCCCCAAGAATGTGATCTTCAGGACATTTACATCCGTAGCTCTGTACACTTGCTTTCCAAGGTAGTTGCATAAGTTTTCTTCTGGTTTAAGATCCAGATTTGCTGGCCACAATATTCATTCATTATGTTCACTTTCAAGGAATTTGTCAGCAAGGTTAACTCAGTGTCAATGAGCATCATCCACACATAAAAAGCCAGATCTGTATGTCCTCTAAAAAGTTTTAGGTAAGTTTCTAAGACTTCATCCTGATATTGCTGGCCAGTCACAGATCCACTATAGAAAACATGTAGGGGTGTAAATCCATCAATTATAATTCCTTACCATACCATCACACCGGCATTACTAAAATAGTCTCACTCTGTAATGTACCTTGACTTGTTGGTAAAGAGAACATACGATCAATGGTATTAATTCCAGTTATGTTCTTTGCATCAATTATGGTGATCCCTCTTTTGTTGTGAACTTAGTGAAACACCCCTTGACTTTTAGGCCCTCTTCATTAAGCCTTTTGTATATAACAATTCCAGTGGTGGCTGCAAGCTCTGAATTAATTGCTGAGCAATAGACTTCTGTTACGGCTGGAAGTTATTACCATATATCGATACTGAGAAGCATTTACTTGTTTATGACCTTGTACAGACCTCCTTACAACAGGTCCGGAATTCTTAAATAGTCCATAATGTAAAGACTGCATGTCGTAAAATATTTACGTCTTACTGCTTTCATGATTGTCTTTTCTGCTTCTAAAATGGCTAACGATTCATCACTTCACAGATTCTTCTAAATGATACTTTGGAGCCATAACAAACTATTTTGAGTCGAACACACTGAAGTCGAATGCTATATTGCAGAAATTCACTTTGCATGAAGTGCTTGATTCACTGTCAGATGACATAACACCTTGATTTGCATATCAGAAACTGTTTGATCACTTCTGATTGGATAATGCTCGGCCTGTATTCACACATTCCCAACAAAAATGGATTTCATGTATTGGCTGTTTCATGGAGTATCATTATTTTGAGTAATGTAAAGATAAATTTCGACATGGGTGTAAATTAATAGCAATACTTTAAAAAATATGCTGCAATTGAAATTTTGGCTTCAAGAGGGATTCAGGTTTCGTAGTAGGAAAATCATAGTAAGTGTTATTTTCAACTGTCACTTCACCCTCAGTATAAACATGCTCATTTAAAGAAGTTCAGAAAACCTATTATGACTTATAAACGATGACAGGCAGTGATTCCTGCAGTCTCTGTATCCATCTGGCTATTTGGTCTTCAGAATTCTTGAGATTCTAAGACCTTTCTGCGATAGAGGTAATAGCGCAAATGTTCTATGGCTTTAACTATGACAAGCAACTCTTTCTGGATGACACAGTAATTCCCCTCTAGTTTAGACAGCCACTTAATCCAGTATGCCATGATGATACATCCTTGACTGTTTCTCGAGAGAAAACTGCACCGACATGCTCATTGTTCACATCCTTGTCAAGAATAAATGATTTGATCCACTAAGGATATGTTAGGATTGTTGCAGATGTTAAAGCACCTTCAGTTTGTTTTATGCAGCCATGTATTTTGTCCACAACAACTTTTGCTTGCTGTCTGTCAATTTGTGAAGCGGGTCTTGTAATGCAAGAAAAGTCCTTCACAAATCTCCTATAGTAGCTGCAAGCCCCCAGGAAGCTTCTCAGCTGATGATCATTTTAGGGTGTCTGTAAAGTTTAACTGCCCACGTGTTTTTTTTTTTTTTTTTTTTTTTTTATCTGTGTACATTTGACAGAGATGAAATGTGTAAGATAAGTCACTTCTTGTCTGGACATTTTACATTTGGCAGGACTTAGGATTTAAGATTAGCTTTCTTCAACTTCTGAATCACCCTCCTAATGTTTCCTCAAACTTTTCTCGATAATGTCATCCAGGTATACCAGAAAAGCTTCATAGGAAAGATCTCTCAGCACAGTCTCCATAATGCTGTCTTTTTGTCTTGCCATCAGGGTGTATCTATCAATATCCACTTTTCAGATCAACCATTGAAAACTACTTGCTTCCAGAAAGTCGAGAATGTCATCATTTCTAGGCAGAGAGTACCAATCTTTCTTCCATGACCTATTTCAACCAGTGATAGTCAATACAAAATCTAGTCTAACCTTATTTTTCTCTGACAAAAATAATGGGAGAGGCCCAAGGATATGCTGAAGACTCCATAATGTTCCTTTGTCGAATGTTCTTTAGAAGTTCTGCTACTCCTAGTTAGCAATCAGTAGATGTCTTGGATATTACTTGATTGGTAGATGGATCTCCCGTTTCAGTTCCGTGCTGAGCCATACTGTTGCGACCTATGTCAGAAGATGTGCAGGAGGAAATTTCTTGAATGCCACATTTGGCATCACACCTTTCGTCATCACTTAGTTCTGCATTCTGCAGCTACTGGATAATAGGCTTTTTGAAGACAGAGATTGGCAGACTGTGAGTTCATTTAATGCAGCTGACTGAAGTACCTGTTAATACCGGGTCATCTTTTCTAATCACTTTCGTTTTATCACTGACGTTGCCATCTCACCAGGATGACAGTCTCAATAGTGCTGAGTAGTGCCGAGGTTACTAGTACTCCTAACAAGGTGTTACCATTCTTAGGATATTCCATTATGCTGCACAGGAAATTTCTGTTTTCAGTTATGGATCCGGGTAATAAAAATTCTGTTCTTGGTGGTACTCTGATATTGTCTTGAGCTATAATTTGGTGCATGGATTTAACGGCTTCACTTTTAATTCTGAACAAGGTTATGTCTTCGGAGGTAGAATGCAGTATGTTATTAAAGGAAAATTTGTATTTTCTTAGAAAGTTTTATCTGAGTATGCAAGGGTCTGTAATATTTCTCACATATGCCATGTAATTGTAGGTGGCACATCCAAACGTGATGTCAATTTCATCACCGGACACAGTCTGGAGGATAATGCAGGGCATCATCCATATAAGTTTACCTTCAATATGTTGAGCCATATCTCTGGTGATAACATTGGCTCTTGTATCAATGGTCATACTGCAAGGAACTCTATATGTCCAATGATGAAAAGTCCATTACTGCTGCCACTCATTGCAGAAATCTGAAGCACCTTAAAATGGGGCTTCTCAGTATCTGACAACCTCAGCTCCATGAGATGGCTACTAAGTTGTTTCCTGCCTCCTTCCTGGGGAGCAGTCTTAGCCTCCGTGCTTTGGGGTGTTCTGCAGTTCCAGCACTTTATTTACTGTTGCTATTTCTATTCCGCCAAGTCATCCTTTGATCTGCTGGCTCCTGGAGATGAGCAAGTTTGATTGCATGGTGGTCCATGGATTGCTTGTTGGGCTACCTCTAATTTCACAGTGTATAACTAAAGCACTTAAATTACCTTTGGAGGAATTTCTACTTCTATAATTTTTTTCTAACAACTACTATCACAAATAGAGTGGTCAGCACGCTGGATTGTGAATTTGAGCCTCTTTTGTAACCACTGTAAATCAAAGCTAGATTTCCTCGTTTTGACATGTTTCTTATATTTAATCATGAATCATTTTATCTATCATTATTATGATTCTCATTTCTTACTTTATCCGTTATTATTAGTGTTTTCAATTTAGTTTAAAATTGTCTACTGTAAATAGAAACCATTAACCCATTACGTAATGATATATCTGCATCTCTTGTATAAATTATTTCATTTTTACACCATTACATATTTTATTCTGTACATAATTTTACATAAACTGTCCAAATGAACAAATTTCATTGTCAATCAATGTCATTCAAATATAAGAAATAATAATAAAAAAGAAAATAATCTGAAGGCTTTCATATTTTATATTACACCCAAATGGGCATTTTGTTTTTTCATTTACAGGCACATAACAGTTTTGAGAGCATATGGACTACTGTTACATTGTACTAAAAATATTTAAAAACAGCATCTCTTTAGAAATTTTATTGGATGAACTTTTCCTTCTAATTTATTTGTGTAATACATAGAGAATAATCAAATTATAGAACGCTTTACTTGTTATACAGATTCTTTTACACATACTCCCATACCACACATGAACAAGCAAGCCAAGGAAGGAGGGGGGAAAACTATTAAAAAAATATGAAGGTGATTTTATTATGTGATGGATGATGTTTAAAGTCATTTAATTCTCTTTATTATACTGTATTCCAAAACAATTTTATAAATCTTAATTCACATAAAACTGATTTGTGTGTATAATAACTGTTTAATCTTACTATCTGAGTTGTTAAATTGCTTCATAAACAAAATTTCACAATAAAAATGAACTGAATGTTCTTCTGATCAGACTATAAAACAGATGAAACACTTGGAACTTGCAGCCTTCTATGAGTATCACACAATTTTTTTCTTTTTTTCAATAAATCTATTGGCTAAACGTAGACTCGCTCGTGACCCCATTTGGACTACTTTTCGGCAAAGACATGCATTTCATTGTGTCATTTACATCACTAGCATAGTCATGTGTACCTTAATGCATCCTGTTTGTTCCTGAAATACAATAAATAAAGGATGTAATGTTTTGCTTAATATATTGCATTTATAATGGTGTCATCAAGTCAGATACATAGATCATTACTTCTAATTTATTCAACTTGCATTTATTGATAGATGCTTAACTTTTTTTTGTGTGTGTGTTATGAATGATTCTTAAAATTTCTCAATTTTAATGTACAGAATTGTTTACAAACCTTATAGTAATTTCAATATCCTAAGACTGGTGATTTTTAGAAACTGTATCTACTATTTCTTTTACTTTCACTGCACTAAAAATAACAATATATTTTTCCTAAGAGTATTAAATTTTCTAATACTTTTTTTTTTTTTAACAGGAAATTTCAAACAAAACTAATGAACTTCTGAGAAGTTTAAGAACATTCAGTGTTAACAGTGAATTTGGGCAGAATATTATAAAATTGTCTACACTGAAAGAGAAAAAATTTGCTCCAGCTCTTGAAAACTTCCTGTGGAATTTAGCAGTAGCAGAAGGCTATGCAAATGTTTAATGTAATTTATAAAATGAAATTTAACTTATTTGCAATATATATACTCTCATTTTGTAAGTGCCTTATTTAGGTTTTCATCTTTTTTTTTAATACTGTAAACAGTGAAACTGTATTTAATGTAGTTAGTAATAAAAGTCTATGGTCTTAGGTTGAATAAGTAAAAATTAGCAGCCATATATAAACTTCATAATATAACTGTGACAGCTATCTTTTTCTTAGACAGCTTTTAAGTTTGATTTCTGAATGGGATATTATTAAGAGATACAGTAAAAAAGAAAAAAAAAAGGCATCAATACATTGCATTAGTTATCTCTAATTACAGCTAAACATAATCCCAAAAAAGACATTTAAAGTTTTTAAAATAATGGCAAACATTCGTGTATTTATAAGTTGTTTACAACCTAGACATATTTTATGACACATAAGTTGCTGCAATATATTCTATTACAAAATGAAATTATAGTGTATAACCATTAATGTAATCAATTAAATAATACAGTGTTATTAATTTGTTCACATTTTAATCTTGTCATTAACAAAGCCATATATTTTCTGTACTAAAACCTGAAATTGGTTAGATGGGGTGGCTGAAAGGGAGAGGAGTAAAATGTAAAAAGAATGTGGTGAATGTTTTAAATAAATGATTAATACAAAAGCCTAATCAAGAAAATTTAACAGTGAACACTGGTAACAAAACTTTTCAAATAAATTGAAAAAAAACAAACATAGTCAGGTGGAACAGGAATTAGAAAAATTATTAGAAATAAACATTCTTTTGAACACACTTAAAACAGTTTGTTGAGAGCAAAAAGCCAATAAATATTCACTATGAATACCTTTCAATACAAAACTTTTCCAGAGAAAAATAGCAAGGTAAAATTATTACATCAGAATTCTTGTTAAAACAAATCTATTGAATTATAATATTACTTTGAATATGCATATTATAATTAATATTAATGCATTACTAATAATTAATGTTAATGCACATGTCTAATAGATATGATTTTGGAGAGATATGAGAAAGATTTCATGCATCTTTTTCATTTTCTTTGAGTACACTTTATGTAGAAAGTGTAATTGTTTCATTTTAAGTATTTAAATTAACACAGATTAAAAGAAAAAAGGGTTTCATATCAAATATTTTTAATTTAACAGCTACAGAAATTTCATAATATAAACAATAAATTTACATTATATTAAGATATATATATTTATTTCAAGGAATATTTCGCTGTACACTCACTTCTGAACATTCTGTTTATGTACCAAATTTTTATTGCTCTATTTTAATATTTTCAGCAATGTCTAAAAGCTCCAAAATATCACTTTCTTTTTTGTCATTCTCAACTAAAAGCTCATTTGAAATTCTACCTAATTCTTTTTGGCATTTCTGAAACAGAAATAAATTTTAATATCTAACTACAATGTTAAGTCTACATTTGCATACATATGTAAGATATTAAAAGTGTTGCAAAATATACAATTTAAAGATTTTTCAGCTAAATCTTTTGCACACCATACATACTACAATACTTGGGAGAGGGGGAGATTCCTCTATAACATTCTTAAAATTACAAGAAGAAAATAAAGCTATGTTCAAAACAGAAATAATTCTAGCAACAAAAATAGTATTAACATCTGGTTTAGGATTAGGTTTAGTGGTTTATATGGCACACAATCTGGAAAGGTTGTTAGTGCCAGAAGCATGTTGAGATTACACATATAAAACAATGAGGCACAATCACATATTTAAAACAGACATATAAAATCAAGAGAAGTAATAAAATGATGAATATTGAAATGAAGTTAGTCCTCATTTATATGACATGTGAAGCAGGTATAAAATCTTAAAATGTGAGATATTAAAAGTAAATTACATTAAAGCACAAGGGTTATCAAATTCGATAGTTAAAAAACCTATTTCTTTTAAATACTGAAATACATTAGTATTCACCTCTTTCCCAATTATTCGGTCAAGAGACAATTCAAAGTCATTAAAATACTTTAAACAAAGTGTGTTCAAATATAAGCAGTCGATTAAAAAGTGACACACTGCCGGCCTTCAAAAGGTGAGTGACCAATACAAAGACAGGTTAAAATTCTTTCCTCCCTTTGATTTAGTATGGAGTTCCAATACTCAGTTACAGGTTTCATGCTTTGAAGTTTATTGAAGACCTGAGCATCCCTCAATAGCTACCACTTCTCTACGATTTTTCTCTTCACAACCTTCTTAATATCCGTTAGAGGAACATGCTGGCTGCACAAATCAACAGCAGATTTGGCTGCAATGTCTGCCAGTTCATTCCCCTGATACCAACATGGCCAGGAACCCAGCAGTACAGAATTTTGTAACTGCGCTTTTGCAACTTTAATGTTAACTTTAGAATATCTACAACAACAGGACTGTGAGTGCTGGAAGCAGCTTCCAAAAATTTCAAAGCACTGTACGAGTCTGTATAAATTATGAATTTTTCATGGCATAAATTTGATGTGTATAGAAGTACAGAATATATAGCAGGTAGTTCTGATGTTAAGAGTGAGGAAGCATGGTGCAATCTTCTACCCTCCATGTGGCCTCCAATTACAAATGCCATCCCAACAAGAGCAGTTGACTTGGATTCATCTGTATATATGAGAACATAACTGGTATATTTATGCCTGCGCTCAGCAAAAAGTTATCTGTAGACAGTCTCGTTAGTGTTGGATTTCTGTATTTTTCCAAGCTGGAATTTGGAAATGCTGTACAGCTTGGGGGGGGGGGTAGATAGAAGACAGAGAGAGTTCCTTAATCAGAGAACTCTTAAAGAAAAAGAAGGCACACAAGATAGTCATGCTTTAAATAAGATTTCACAGATGTTATCAAGCAAAATTAGCTTATTAGGATGGTCAAGTTGAAACGATACAGTAAAAGAGACAATTCCTCACGTCTTAAATGGAGTGTTGGTTCATAACAGTCAACATAAAGATTCTGGACAGGAGATGCCCTGAAAGCTCCAGAACAGATTCGCAAAGCTTGATGATGAACAGGATCTAGTTTTGACAAGACTGATGATCGGGCCAATCCATAAACAACTGACCCATAGTCCAGTTTAGAATGTACAAGTGCTCTGTAAATGTGAAGCATAGAGCAATGCTCTACACCCCAGGAGGTGTTCGTCAAAACTTTTAAAATATTTAGTATTTTTACACACTTCTTTCTCAGGTTCAAAACATGAAAAAGGTCAAAAACTTAAGTCGATTTTTGGTCGAAAATGACACCTAAAATTTTTCCTTCAGGTGCAGTTGGAATTATCAAACCGTTAAGATAAGTCAGGTTCAGGATGGAGACCCTGCTTTCTACAAAAGTGCACACACACGGTCTTCTATTTCGAAAACGTAAAGCCTTGTTTGTTTTGACCATTCCTGGATCCTGTTCAAAGCAATCCACAATTGCCTCTCTATATGTCTCATGTCTGCCCCTTGACAGCTAATCTGTAGATCGACATATAAAGATCCTAAAATGGGGGAAGGAAGTTCTTTTAATATAGTTTATTTTTAAGCTGAAAAGGGTTAAGCACACAGCTTTCAGGCGCACCCTCTTCCTGTTCAAAAACAGAGCCAATCCTTACTTGAAAAGTTCTAGTGTTCAAGAAATTCTGAATGAAAATTGGTAGGTTGCCGTGCAAGCCACTGTTGTGAAGATCCCCAAGTATACTGTATCTCCATGCCTTATTATAAGATTTCTCAGTGTCAAAGAATTTCTTCTTACAGAAGCTTTTTGAATGGATGTCTCTAAAAGGAGCATGTTATCTATGGTAGTTCTCCCCTTTGGAAACCACATTGATAAGGCAATATAACATTATTCTTTTTCCAAGAAGTAGACTAGGCAGCTGTTTACCATTTTTTCAAACAGCTTGCATACGCAACTCATAAGGGCAATTGGCCGACAGTTGCAGGGATTCCTTGGATCTTTCCCTGGCTTAGCAGTAGTAATTACAACAGCTCTCCTCCTTGCACTGGGAAAAGTTCCTCCCACACTCTATTGTAAAGAGTGAGAAGGGCAGTCAGTGACTTATAAAACAGATGCTTCAGCATTTCGTAATTTACACCAGTGGTTATTGCCATTTGCACAACCCATTGCATATTTGTATTAAAAATTGTTTATCATTTTTAAGTATCAAAATTCACGTTATAATCCTTTAATTCTATAATTTAGTGTGAAATTTGGACCTGTTTAAGGGACATTAACTTCATTATGTCTTGCCTTATTTCACTTAGTTTTAACCATAAATTATGATCCACTTTTAATTTTGTTCTGTATTTATTTTTGAAATATAACATGAAAGAAACTCCTTTTTCACACAATTAAGTTGTTCAAAAAGGCAATAATAATTTAGTAGCTTTATTTGAAATGCCTTTAAATTTTTTTCGATTCAGCCAAAAGCTACCAAGTGTGTTATTTTTTAAATCTTCAGTTACAGGCTATTACAGGCAGTTTTTCTATCAATAGTACTTTTCCTTCGGGGTATAAAATTTCAGGTACATTTGAACAAAATGGATTTCTAATTCCATTTTCTTCACAATCCTCGGAAAAATATATGTTGAAATTATTTATCAATGAGAAACAATGATTTTTAATATTCGCTGCTAACTCTTTTATTTTCAAATTATTTTCAATTAGAAAACTTTCTAAAAGGCATAAAAAACTTAGAATATCCAATTCTCTGATTATTAGCTCGAGTTTTTTTATCATTGCAATTATTTCATCTCCAATAGTAAACACTTCGTCTTTGTAATACAAAGTTTAATTCATTTAACTTTCCAAAAATATGCTAAACGCGCCAACCACAATTCACTAAATGAAAAATTTTGCAATTCAAATTTGAATTTCTGATCAAACCTCAAAAAGATGATTTTAAGCTTTGCCTCTTGATAACCACCTTACTTTGGAATATAACAAAAGAGTTTCATATTAACTGCCCATCTCTTGGCATAAAATTTTAAATATTCTTGAATTTAAACCTTGTCTTTTAATACAATTAACAATTTTCACAGCATGATTCAAAATGATTTTTTGGTTTTCAGGGATTGTTTTGGCTACTAAATCTTTACAATGAATGGAGCAGCAAGTAAATTTAGTTTCACGTGCGACTTACTGTATTTGAAAAATAACACCGGAATGTTTTTCTGTTAAAATCCAAGTTTCGTCACTGCATGTGGGAATACACTTATTCCAAGGAATATCATTCTCAGACATAAAATTGTCAATTACTTTGAAAATTTCAGTTGCCGTTGCTCTTTCAAAAGAGATTCACAAAATAAATACTCTTCACCAATTCTATCTTCTTCGAAACGTGTGTAAACTAGTAATTGAACAAAGTTTGTTATATCAGCACTTTCATCCAACTGAAAAGCGAATAAGTTATAGCGAGCACTAGGTTTTATTTTTTGAATAAGTGTCTCTTTCCTGAATTTGTTGATTTACTGTACCATTTGAAAACAATATCTTTAGCTGCTGGTAATGAAAGATGTTCTTCAACAGTGTGAGCCTGCCCAGTCTTTGCAATTTTTAGGCTTACTAGGTAACTAGCCTTCAAAGCTTTTTCACTTGAAGTAACAAAATCTTTCATTACTTGTTTACTAATTTTGTATTCGATAATTTCCTCTTAAAATATTCTTCAAATTTTTAAGCAGACAGCAAATCTACGTAAAAAATTGTTCTAATTTATAATAGCAAATTTGTGCGAATGTGATCCGGGGAATGATGATGACATAAAAGGTAGACAGGGTAATAAATCGATCAACTCTAAAAGAATTAATGAGCTAATATTATCTTTTCTACAGGAAATTATTTTTTTATTAACTATAACATCAATTTTTCTATTACTAATTTTTAAAACATCATTTATGACAAACTTTGTTATGTCTATGGCTAAACGAATATTTCTGAAAATAAAACGCTTATTTTGCTAAAGTCTATGAGTGGCTGGACCTTGAAAAAAGCTCAGATGGCATGAATTTACAAGTGTTAGAAAAAAAAAAAAAAAACTTAAACAGGATGTTGGGGTATTTAATTTTTTAATTTAATAGTTAACAGTTTAATAGTTTTTAATTTAATACTTTGATTCACTGTGTACCACCTATTTTTCTCTTGTGTACCACCAGTGGTACACATACCACCGGCTGAGAACCGCTGATTTACACAATCAAGACCCAGAGAAGACCTATGTGTCTGCAACAAAGCTCTCCTTAATTCAAGCATAGTAAAGCCTCTATAATAAGGCTCATAGTTGGAAGAGTTGAATGCGATGGGATTTCTTTCAGAGTGCTGCTTGAATGAGAGAAATGCAGGTGAATAGTTTCTGCTGGAAGAAACGACAGCAAATGTCTCACCAATAGTATTCACAATTT